CAGTTGTATTAAGATTCTTTGGAAAACCCTGTCCTACCCTGACATTCGCAACAGCTAACATCTGCCAGCATAGAAGCAGCTGCACACACCACCTTGGATCCTGTTGTGGGCTGTCAGGTTGTGGTGACTCTAAATGATCTTTGTTGGGAGTTCACATGCTCAGTTCCTAGTTAAGGACTAGCCAATCAGAAGCAGAGAAGGGCGGGTCAGCGAGAAGCCGGTAAACGGCTCGGGTTCAGCCGCACGTGTTGCCGACCGGCTCGGCAACACGGACTGGAGCGAGAGTTTCAGAGCGGTGAGTTATTAATCTGTATCCATAAAGTTTTAACTGAGCTCTGTCTCTACATCACAGGAACAACTTCATGTCCACTGACTGCCTGGAGGGTAGCTAGTGTTTGGAAGGGAGAGGAGAGCTAACAAAGACGGTTAGCTCCATGGTATAATACTCTCCTTCTCTCTCTCTCTCTCTCTCTCTCTCTCTCTCTCTCTCCCCAGCCGGTGGAGGCAGATGGCCGCCCACCCTGAGCCATGGTTCTGCTCGAGGTTTCTGCCTCTTAAAGGAAGTTTTTCCTTGCCTCTGTCTCCTAGTGCTGCTCTTGGTGGGAACTGCTGGGCTTCTGTAAATAGCATCATAGAGCTCTTTTATGAAAAGCACTGTGAGATTACTGTTGTGATTTGGCGCTATATATAATAATTGAATTGAATTGAATGTGCTGCAGCTCATTGTTTCTGAGGGCGTGTCGGAGTAGCCGCTTGGCGAGCGTTATGACACATATTTCCTTTTCATCCCTGTATCGTCACAGGGAGTTGGCTGCGGAAGGAAAACGAACAAACACGACAGACATGAACAGAATGCAGTTCTTGTGGTTTATTTTAACAGGTTCTCACAGTTTCAAGTCCGACAAAAGTAATGTATCATCAAATAAACAGTCCTGTCCTTCTGAGAAAGCTGTGTGGATGCTTTATGTGACGTACAACACAGACTCTAACACAAGCACCATGTGAGGACACAAAACAACAGTTTAATGTGCTGAAGCCCGTCAGGCCAAACAAGAATCAGATTCATGTCTTTTAAGATACCCCCCCTTACCAAACACCTTACACTGGATGGATACCTCTCCCCAGACTTGTAATATTCAGCAGCCTTGGCACCTAGGAGCAATTTAGCTAAAAAGGAGCGCGGGACGACTGGCAGTCATGAATGAGTGCAGCGCTTCTTTTCTTTCACTGAATATTTAAGGTGGTAGCTCCTGTATGATCCCACATTCAACAGTAAGTAACGAGACAGGGAAACCACACTGTCAGTAAACAATACTTCTGACGTACTGCGGTAAGCGTGTCGACTCATTTCCGTTTCCGGTGCTTGTGTGTTGGTACCGTGTTGTTGTTACATTTGTTAGATTACAGCAGCCAACTGTCCGCTAAACACTTATTCTTACAGTAATTTTGCCTAAGCACTCATAGTTCTTTCCATCTTTTAGTGACTGCTGTTCAATCTCATAGTGGTTCAAAAGTTTTGGTAGCTAACGCTACAGTACTTTAGCTTAGCCGTTAGCGACTTTAGCTTAGCAGCTAGTGATGGCTTCTCCTTCTCCCTCTCTCTCTCCTACTTTCTCCTGCTCGGTGTGTGTCAGATGTTCAGTTACTCCTCTGCCTCCTTTAGCGGTAATGGTACGTGTAATAAGTGTAGTTTATTTATAGACATGGAGGCGAGGCTCAGTGATTTAGAAGTCCGGCTCCGCACCTTGGTAGATCAGTCTTTAGCTAGTGTAGCTAGCCAGTCCCCGGTAGTCGGTGCTGAACGGCCTGAGTTAGCCTCTGGTAGCCGTCCCCCGGCATCTCCTGTGCAGCCAGGAAAGGGGGGGGCTGGGTGACTGTCCGAAGGAGGAATAGTCGTAAGCATTCAAAGTCCACGGGGCATCATCAACCTGTTCACGTTTCTAACAGATTTTCCCCACTCAGCGACACACCCGCTGAGAAACCAACTCTGATCATTGGCAGCTCCATTTTGAGAAACGTGAAGTTAGCGAAGACAGCGGCCATAGTTAAGTGCATCCCTGGGGCCAGAGCGGGCGACATTGAGTCTTATTTGAAACTGCTGGCTAAGGATAAACGTAAATACAGTAAGATTGTTATTCACGTCGGTGGTAATGACTCCCGGTTACGCCAATCGGAGGTCACTAAGATTAATGTTGAGTCGGTGTGTACATATGCAAAAACAATGTCGGACGCCGTAGTTTTCTCTGGACCCCTGCCAAATCTGACCAGTGATGACTTGTGGTGTCCAGCAAACGATTGAAAGTTGAATAAGATGTCATTTGAATCTAAAATTCCTTTAGCTGCTCACCAACCAAACATTTAAGGAGCTTAGCCAAAACACACAGCTTAGAAATAGGCCTATAGTTGTTTAAAATAGAGGGATCGCCCCCTTTTAGTAGGAGTGTCACATGGGCTGACTTCCATACATCGGGGATATCATATTCAATAAATGTTAGATTAAAGATATATTAAAGATAGAGGCTCCGCAAATATGTCTAACTTTAGAAAGAAGAGATCAAGTTTATCAAGACCAGCAGACTTTTTTGTGTGACTGACAGACTGATAGAGGAGAAATGTAAAATAGTTTGTCAGGAGGTAAGCATGGTTCAGAGGGGTGCTCCTGCGCACTGGGGCCAGAAGAAGGAAGGCATGAGGAGTCAAATAAGGATCCGGAAGAAATTAAGTGCTCATTAAAGCAAGCTTGCATTGTTGGTTTATCAGTCACCTTGCCTGAATCAATCATAACATGAGGGGGTAGTTCACTACAATTATAGGTAATTACATCTGGGCTAAGAAAAATGATGTGTGGAGTTCCCCAAGGCTCCATTCTGGGGCTTCTTTTGTTTAACATCTACATGCTTCCACTGGCTCAGATTATGAAAACAACTAAATATGTTACCGCAATTATGCAGATGACACACAGATTTACATAACCATATCACCAGGGGACTGTGACCCTATACAAGTGCTGAGTAACTGTATTGAACAAATTAACAATTGGATGCGACAGAATTTTCTTCAATTAAACAAATATAAAACTAAAGTTATTGTTTTTGGAGCCATGGAAGAACGATTGAAAGTCAGTGCTCAGCTTCAATCGGTAACGTTAAAAACCACAAACCAAGCCCGAAATCTTGGTGTAGTCATGGACTTAGACCTGAATTTAAGCAGCCACATTAAGACACAAAGTCAGCCTACGATCACCTGAAGAACATATCAAGGATTAAAGGACTTATGTCTCAGCAGGACCTGAAAAAACTTATCCATGCATTTATCTTCAGTCGACTCGACTACTGTAACAGTGTCCTTACAGGCTCCCTAAGAAATCCATCAGACAGCTGCAGCTGATTCAGAACGCTGCTGCTTGAGTCCTCACTAAGACCAAAAAGGAGGATCACATCACTCCAGTTCAGAGGTCTTTACACTGGCTTCCTGTATGTCAGAAAATTGTTTTTTTAAATCCTGCTGTTGGTTTATAAAGCACTAAATGGTTTAGGGCCAAAATACATTTCTGATCTTCTGCTTTGTTACGAACCATCCAGACCTCTCAGGTCGTCTGGGGCAGGTCTGATTTCTGTCCCCAGAGTCAAAACTAAACAAGGAGAAGCAGCGTTCAGTTATTATGCTCCATATAACTGGAATACTCCCAGATAACTGCAGGTCTGCTGAAACTGTTAGTTTAAGACTGAAGACTTTTCTTTTTACCATTGCTTTTAATTAAATATTTAGATGGTGAGAAATGAGTAGGTAATGGAGTGAAAAGATAATGAGAGTGAGACTGAACAGAGTGAATGAAGTGGTCTTAAATATCACGCCTGAGTGATTTGCAGGAACCTCTGTCCACCTGTAAACGCGCAGGTGGGTCCTGAATCAAAGCGGCCTGCGGACAGACGTGTCCTGGTTTCTCTGTAGTGTCCGAGGATGGAACTTTTGTTCGTTATATATGCATGTTATTTGGCTGCTACCTTGGCCAGGTCTCTCTTGTAAAAGAGATTCTGAATCTCAATGACTCTTCCTGGTTAAATAAAGGTTAAAAAAAAAAAAATTATAAGACAAATTTTGTTCCAAAGTGAAACCAGTCATGTAAAAAGGCTTGTTCACATAAATGCTTCATATCCCTTTTGAAAATAATCCGAAGCCTCTGTTTTGGGATTTTAGCATTCCTAACTGCTGTAATTGTACAATGATCACTCAGGTCATTAGCAAACACACCTATATCTGAGAATTTGTGTTGAGCGTTTGTTAAAAACAATCAAGTAGAGGATTTTCAACTGGGTAAGATTAAAAGAGTCACAGACAGATTTTAAACTATCCAAAATGGAGGCCAGCCAATCCA